TATACTCATTACTTGAGTTCTGATTATCTACTTGCAGATTTATTTGGACAAATGTTGTGTGCAATTAAACTCTTTTAGAAAATTGTCTCTTTTATATACTGGGATGAGTGAAAAATCATACAAAAGCACTTACACTCCTACAACAGAAGAAGAAGCCTAACTTCTAAGTATTTACTTTCAATTTCTTATCTTACATATTGTCAGGGAGATAATTATTACTATGCTAGATTTTGAGAAGTTTTTTTTTTAAATGTCAGCAAAGAGAAAGCCATACTAGAGACACTGAAATTAAAAGCTGCCAGTACTAAAATTCTGGTATGTTCACTGCCTTATTCATTCAGATTTCTTAAATTTATAGGCAAATAAAATTTATTGGTATGAATGCTCCTCCTCTTCCATCTGTGTAGTAGGGTTGCTAATTTACTCACAGCTTAACTTTAGAAACACACACACACACACGCACACGCACATGCACAAGCACAAGCATTATAGTTTCCTGAAACCAGACTTCTTCATGAAGCTCTACTGGTTAGATTCTTTTTCAATTTCTTTATTTAATTCAATCCATCAAGTGTAGGCTGTTTGAATAATTGAAGCATTATCTATCAAAGTTAAACTGCATTATTTTAAGGCTAAGCTGATCACTATAAAACTCAGTCTTTCAAATTTAGCTGCCACCAACTCCCTCCCCTCACCTCCCAACCTCACCGGGGCTTTTTAAAGGAGAGGGGAACATGTGGCACATAGGACTTTAGGATGGAGGTTATACCTCATCTTGTTCCTCTCTGATCCTGGCTTGAATGTAGAGTCTCCTGCTACCTAGAATAAAAATGAATATGTCCATGTGAGGCTGAGCTATTCAGAAGGGCACCTCTTCAGTGTTTCACAATTCTGGTCCCCTGCCTAAAGCATTCAAAGCCATCCTCTTGGTTGACTTCAAATCTCATCTATGGGCTTGGGCCACATCTTCATTTCAAAAGGAACATCTGGATCCCCTGCATGTCACACACAAACTAGCAGCCCTGCCTCCAGCTACGTCCAGCCACACCCCTGCTGTCTCTCCATGGAAACCCCATTGTTCAGGGCCCAGGCTGATGTTCAATCAGTTTTCACCAACATGTCAACACATATTGTTTAAATACGGCTGTAGTTTTGCTCTTGTTGATTACTAGGCACTGTGTCGAGTTCTTAGAGTGTCTCATGACTTCATTAAAAATGGTGGGCCTCCCCAGGGGATCCCTAGGAGTGTAACTCTATTTTGATAAGTTTAAATTAATATGGTTTTTAAATATTTTGAATGTTGTTCCTGACACAGTAGTATATGAACCTTCTCCTCTCCTGTGTTTATGCAGGCACATGTACTCCAGGTATTTCTACTGAGGTAGAGAGACTCCACAGAAATAGATTCCATTAAAAGATAATACAGATCCATTTGGTCTGTGATAATTTGTTAGGTAATCTTAGTATGTTCTTTGAGTGAACCCCTAATATACCTAGACAAACCTCACTGAAGTCTTACTACATGTCTGCTAAGCCCTTTACATATGGATCCCATTTAACTACTATAGAGAAACTAATGAGGTAAGAAATGGTATCATCCCCATTTCATAGATAAGTAAGGCAAGGAACAAAGTGGTTAAACCACTTGCAAAGGATTCAGTGCTAATGAGCAGAAGAGCCAGGATTTAGGCATTTAACTACCATTCCAAACGGAAAAGCTAAGTCCTCAGGTGGGAGCAGGGGTTAGCTGCGTGGTGGAGGTCACAGATGGGCAAGGTGAGAGTAACTGATGATCATGGTCTTCAGGAGAGTTCTTGTTACTCAAGCATCAGCAGAAGTTGTAGCAGCAACATCACCCGGCAGCCTTCAGACTTGCAGTCTCGGGCCCCGCAAACCAAATGGATCTGTATTATCTTTTAATGGAATCTATTCTCTTGGTTTAAGAGGCTTGAGGTTCAAAACTAAGGTGATGGCAGGGTTGATTATTTCTAGAAGCTTTGAGAGTGAAAGAGCTTTGCCCTAAAATAAATTACTGTTTGGTTATGGCGGTGGTCTAACATGGCAGAAGGCCAAAGCGGGAACACTTACCACTTGTTGCTTCTTCCTCAGCCTTAATTGCAATTCCCCTTTGGGTTTGTGCGTGAAGAAAACTCCAATCAGCTCCTTGCATGTCATCAATGCCCACCCTAAGCACCACCCCCACTCAACGGTTACAAATGCACCATACACCATATTCTGGTGGAAGGAGACATCGCAGCTGGCATGGGTTGTGTGCTCCTTCCCACGTCCTCATCTCGATAAACCTGTTCTTTTTGCACTTTTGTTTTTCTATTGCACCATAAAACTCAGAAAGAAAATCTATTATGTTTCTTTTTCCCACTTTCTGGAAGTTATCGGCAATCTTTGGTGTTTCTTAGTTTGTGGATAAAACACTCCACTCCCTGCCTCTTCTGCACATGATCTTCTCTGTGTGTCTCTATGTCCTTTCTTTTTCTTTTAAGCACACCAATCATTTCAGCATCTTCCCTAATCCAGAATGACCTCACCTTAATAAGTTACAGTACTGTATTACACAGTGATGGGGATACATCCTCAGAAAGGCTTCTTTAGGCCATTTCTTCATTGTTCAGATATCCTAGAGTGCACTCATACATACAAACTAAGATGCCTACAGTGTCACTAGGTAATGAGTGTAATTTTGTAGGCAGCCATTCCATATGCAGTCTACTCTGAAAAAATGTCTTTATGCAGCACATGTACATATCTGCAAATATTCCTTATTTCCAAATAAAGTAACATTCCACAGTTCAGATGGATATGAACTTTGGGAAACCTACTGAATCCATTGTATAGAGTCATAATAATTATTATTATTTTGCCATATTTGTAGCTACAAGATTAATTTTTTATACTAAAGTACTTATAAGTTCTTGAAAAGTAGCCTGATTGAGACTAGCCTCACTTCTTCCTTAGACTTTTTCCTCACATTACCACTGAAACTATGTGTAGCTGGCATTGTCCTTATCACCAAACAGAATAGCAGCAAGTGCTGATCTGGTTTGACCTCCCCTTTGTTTCATAGCTGTGGACCATCTCCACCTTGCCACTCCCAAATCAGTCTCCAGTGCTTCTCCTCTGCCTTCTTCATGTGCTTCTCTTTAATCTCCAGGGATAGTTCAATCTTGGTTGCCTCAGCTTCTCTGCATTTCATAGTGGTCATCTTCTTTTCCCATACCATGACTCTGCAAGGGCGATTGACTGCCACCTACATCCGAAGGTTCCTTAAAACCAGGACCTCAGTGGTGTATACATGATAGGACTTGGAAGTACACAGGTGTATGCACTTGTCAAAACTCATCACACGGTAAATCTAAAATTTGTGTAGTTCACTCTTTTTGTAAGCTAAGCTGTCAACAAATATTGAACTCTGGTTAATGCTAAATTAAGAGTGAAGTGTACTGATATCAGCAATTTAATTTGACAAGCATCAAAAATAAGATGGATGTGCACATAAAAATAAAATGATTACTTAAAAATAAGATGAATGGATATAAAGGTGTGTGGTTAAGCCCATATAGTAAAATACTAACAATTATACAATCTACTTGGTAGGCAGAGGAATTTCTTTTAATATACTAGCAAATAGGAGATCTTGTTTCCAGGCTGGTGCTCTTTGCTTAATACTGTTCACAAATGGTACTGCACCTGGTCTTCATTCTCAAAGGTCTCTTTAATTTCCTATGATTGAGGCTCCTTCAGTCATCCTGGTCTATCAGGATCTATGATAGATCAAACACACCGTAAGTGCTTAAGCCACAGAGATGGATTTCTTAAAATTCTGACCAAGAAGATTTTGAGTGTGACAGAAAACAGAATCAAGGTGGATTCTCATGAGTTCAGTTTGGTGACTGGGTTGATGGTGGTACCATTAAGTAGGACAGGAGAGATAAGTGAAGGGTTAGATTTAGGAACAGAGAGAGGAATCTCAAGTTTGATTGAAAGTACTTGTGGTCATCCATGTGGAAGCATATACTAGTCAGAGATTCAGTTGTATTCTATTATGTCATGTGGTATTGTGTTCTTGTATGGTGTTAGGGATGGAACCAAGTTCTCATGCACTCTATGCAAGCCCTGATCTACAGAGTTGAACCCCCGGCTCAAAATTAATAATGGGGGGGGGGAGCAGCAATAGTACATAAAAAGGGGAGAAAATGAGATTCCAAACCAGAATAGTAAGGAGTCACAATATTTAAGGTATGGGCAGACAAGGAGAGCCAGAAAAAAAGATTGGAAAGGAAGTACAAAAAGATATTAAGAGTGTCAGAAAAGGTTCATACCTTAGAGACTGCACCTTTGATCTATAGAGAACTTTAACTTCAAGTGTATTTTCTGAACTGTTGTTAAGCAATGCCTCTTCTATGGTCACTAGCAAGTCTAAGTGACAAGCCAGAGTGAATTCTCTTCCAGAGGCTATATACTGAGCCCTGCAGATGCCTGCCTCACATGCCTGACTACCAAATGCTGGCACTCAGTCTCTGTGCCCGTGTTTCCACTTGTGTTGATGTTCACATTGGCACCTTCCATTGTCATGGGCAAAGGAGCAAAACTAAAAGAGAAAGGGAGCAGACACTTCGGTGATAGCTCAGCACCCCACGTCAATGAAGGTTTTGCAGATTTCAACACAGAAAAGAAGACGGTCGTTTGGATCATCTCATGGAACACAGATTATATAAATGGGTTTAATTCCAAAGGACTTAAAACTGCATCCGTGTGTACAAAATTCACACTGCGAACCGCAATTTCCTTACACTGAAGCATCATCTGTTACATTCACTTAACATGGTTTTGAGATTCAGTGAAAACATTTAATTTGTAAGAAGCCGCTGATGAACTTGGGTTTGAAAGTCTGTCTATGTTTCTAGATCTGTACACTTGCTAGCGCAGTGAACCATATTTTCAAATTACTCTTTTTTTTTTTTTTGCGTTCTTTTCCTTTTCAGATAAAGTTATCTGACTTTGGTTTCTGTGCTCAAGTTTCCAAAGAGGTGCCAAAGAGGAAATCACTGGTAGGCACGCCCTACTGGATGGCACCTGAGGTGATTTCCAGGCTACCTTATGGGACAGAGGTAAGTGGTGACAGCTGTGGTGGAGAGAGCAGAGCCTGGACAGGCTGAGGATGTAGTGATACTCAGATACTTGATGACCACAGATGAGGGCAATAACTTTTTACTCCACATTTACTGGCTGGGCACAGAGTAGGCGGAGGCAGAAAGGACTCTGACCACCACTAAGGATATCACAGTGTTCACTCTGTCCTTATATTGCAATACTGCCATGGATGCTAAGGTGATGCAGAGTCATTCAAACTCTCCTCCCACACTCAGTGGCCACATAAATCAAAGCAGTAAGATTTCAGATGCAACTAGAGATGTGCAGGAGAACAGATGGGATGTTGTAGAGGAAGGACAGTGGATCAGAAAACATGCCACAAAACAGAGGTCATATTGAATGAGCAGTAGTGGGTTCCTATAGGAAAGATAATCAAATGCTAATATAGTATATTTGACAATATGGCACAAGGTCTCTTTCCCCTAGAAAAGAGACAATCACACATAACCTGTCAAAGGACTAGGCTTAGGGATATGAGATGGAAGGGCAGAGGATGTGGAAGAAAGGACTCCTAGGGAGTGTGAGTTGAAGCTCCAGGCACAATGGACCCCATTAAATGGAGGTCATGGAGCTCATATCTGAGCATAGTAAATCCAGTACCATGGTGCAGATGGTGATTTTGGAAGAGGAGGATCTGGGAAGAAGTGGTGTGAACCAGTGGGTGAAGATGTCTCCTAAGCTAGGCCAGATTCTGCTGTTTCCCTTCTTGTGTGACCTCAGATGAGCACTCAACTTCTTTTTCTTACTGTGGAGAAGGTTGCTGTAAGGGTTACGGCAGTAGCACAGTGGCCAGTTAAGAGGTGTATTGAGGCCATGACAGGAAGTGAGCGGAATGGGAATTTATAGCGCTGCTGTGGCTTCTCAACGTTGTGCTTCCCATTCTCCATGCAGAAAGAATTACTTGCAACCACTTTCTTTTCTCCATTCTCTGAAAATGGTTTATATAAACAATGTTTTGTTGCTGCTGCTTCAAAACAATAAAGCATAAAAGGAAAGCTCCAAAGTAGGTGAAGAAAAAACTATTGTTACAAAGCAAGTTATTAAAAGGAACCAGGATATAGCCTGCATTGTGCAGTGCAGCTCTTTGCAGTTCATTATGACTACATCAAATACTTTTCTTATGGTTTAAATGCAACTTTCTATTTTCACAACAGAGGATTTTTTTTGCTTTATTTTAATCTACCTTGGTAGCCTGTTAACTGCAAAAGATAAACAGAATAAAAATTGAAGTTCTACATTTCACAATGTTGAGATAATCATTTATTCCTAATTGGAGGACACTTCCCTGGAGTGATATTTAAGCATCAAACAAAGATGATTAACAAAAACTCAGTAATCCAATGATTCAGCCTATAAACCTGGTCTTATTGATCTGTGACTGAGTGTGAATCAATCGAATTTCCTTGGATGCATCCAGCCTTCCAGAACATTCTCCCTGCCTGATAAACAGTGGGTGTGTGCCTCACAGGTGGACATCTGGTCTCTTGGGATCATGGTGATAGAGATGATTGATGGTGAGCCCCCCTACTTCAATGAGCCACCCCTCCAGGCGATGAGGAGGATCCGGGACAGTTTACCTCCAAGAGTAAAGGACCTACACAAGGTGAGCAGTGTGTATTTCTTGGTCCAAAATAGCTATAGGATCTTTCAGCTCTCTGTGGTTTCAGACATTGGCATTTCACATCCAATGGGCAATAGATCCTAGTGTAAGGGCATGCAGACTTTGGAATTAGTCACCTGGTTTCATGCTTCACTCTCTGGATATTGACTCAGCCTCTGTGACTCCAGAGTTTACCTGTGAAATAAGGTATGAGCAGCTTCTTTATCAAAGGCTACATAGAAGAGTGAATTGCTCAACACTTAGTCACTGAGGGCCTGATACCTTCCAGAGGCTTCTAATCGCTCAGGATACTGCAGCACAGGACCCCAGACTGTTACAGAGCTTAAAGACTAGCTGAGGAAGCAGATAAAAAACCATCAACAAGTGGAGGAACAGAATAACATCACAGAGTGGTACCTGCTGTGAAGAAAATAAAGTGCTGTGACATGGTGTAGGGCGGGAGAGGGCACTGAGAGCCAGTGTAGCTTGGAGAGTGAAGGAAGCCCTTCCTGGGGAGGATCACCAAGCTGAGCTGGACCTCAGTGAGAAGATGTATAACCCATGCAAAGATTCCAGCAGAAGAAACATCAAGCCCTAAAAGCCAGGAAGCAGAAATCTCCTGTAACCCTAATAACAGGAGCAAGAAAACAGGATAGGTAGGTAGGTAGGAGCTGGATCATGCGAGGAGTGAAGGGCAAGTTAGTGGCATACATAGAAAGGCTACACAGAGTCTTCTCCATTGTCCAAGATTTGTGCGTTAGAATTGATCTCACGAAAAAATGAAAAGTCCAAAAATCACCACTTCCAGAGCTGCTACTACCCTGCAGGACTTGCCAAGAAAAGGCATTTTCACTGGACCTTCTGTAATCACTGATCAGTCACACCTCCCACCCCATCTTCTTCATGACCAAAAGAGAAACATGAAGTTGCCTTTCAGGGAAATTAATTTGTAAGAATATTGTCTCCTCTGTTCTGTCCCTTGTCTTAGGGAAGAACCTCAGTTGAATGATTCATGCAGGATGCAGGGACTTGCCAAAGAGAAAAATGGAAACTTTTTTTTTTTTTTTTTGTCTTTTTTCGGTACCAGGGATCGAACTCACGACTGCCTGCTTGCAAGGCAGGCGCTTATGCCACTGAGCTAAATCCCCAGCCCCCAAAAATGGAAACTTCTTGAGATGAATGAAAAATTGAAATGCTTATGGAGTTGGACAAAGTTTAAATAATAAAAAATGACAAAAGCATATTGTATCAAAATAGTCCCACACCCAATAGAAAAAGCATTAATGTTCCTCAAAGCCATGTAGAAGACCATCTTTAATCCCAATGTTAAAAAACAGGAAAGCACTCAACATTTTCCAAATGAATAAGTAATGTATGGTACAATTGGACAATGAATGCTACACAGCAAAGAGAAGGTGGAAACTTTCATCACACACAGCTGAACTGAATCTCAGAGACACCAAGATAAGGGAAGGCAGCCAGACAGGGAAGAATCCACAGCAGGTGACTATTTCTACAAAGTGAGAGCAAGCAAAACTGATTTATGCTATCAGAAGTCAGGAAAGTGGTGACCTTCTGCAGAGGAATGGGTATTACCAGACAGAGTACCCAAGGTGGCCTCTAAGAGTAGCATAAAGATTCTAGATCTTGAAAGGGATAGAGAGAACATATATGTGAATAAAGATCTACTGGTCCATCTACTTAATATAAATGCACATAAATATATTAAGATAGATGTCAAAAAATCTTTGATAAGAAATTAAAGGGGAAATGGTATATGTCAGATATCCTTATAAAAGCATGTTTCTCTTCAAGAAAGAGGAGTCCATAGAACCTAGATGTTAGCAGTAGCTAAAAAAAGAAAAAAAGAAAAAAGAAATTGTTTCATGTTTTTCATTGTACTTCATTAAACGTGTGGCCAGCACCTTTCTGAACCCACCCCTTCATAATAGTTGCACTTGTCACCATTGTTACCATTACTTTTATTTATTAAATAAATTTTGTTCTTTGTTGCATCATCATTTACCTATGTTCCTTAAAACTTGACAGAAAAACGTCATGTGTTAATAAAGTTATTTCCATATTTTGCTTCCCCAATGATCTTTCTCCTTAAAATGACTTTCTAGAAATTGCCCATAGGATTAACTGGGAAAACCAGCAGTTACGCTGGGTTTTTATGTTGGTTCTTAGAATGGTCTCTGTGCTTTCACAGGTTTCTTCAGTGCTCCGGGGATTCCTAGACCTGATGTTGGTGAGAGAGCCCTCTCAAAGAGCTACAGCCCAGGAACTGCTTGGACATCCATTCTTAAAATTAGCAGGTCCGCCATCTTGCATCGTTCCCCTCATGAGACAATACAGACATCACTGAACAGAGGATTCACATAGATGACAGAGCTAGATTAAGATATGAAAACAATTCAGGAGAACATGAGGAAAACCACAGAACACGCAAAAGGCCTGTGCATTCTAGACCAGCTGATTGGTGGGACAGTGTGATGACCGGCAGGGTTTGACAGACCAGGGCATCTTCTTGTGTCTTAAATAGGCATCTCTTCACTGACAGCTGGCATGGTCATTTGGAGCATGGCTTTAAGAAGTCATTATTATGTATTTCAGCCCTTCATCCAGGAAATCAGAAGGACTCAGTACAAACTCCGTTATGATACATCCTCGCCACATGCAGGGTACCGCATAGGATTTTCTATATTGAAAGAATACTTTTCTGGCAAAAAAAAAAAGAAAGAAAGGAAAACAAAAAGCACTTTTTTCTTAATGGTAGCAGTGTAATGTATTTTGCAATGAATTTGTAATTTTTCTGTACGATAGTTTTGATAATTTATAGTACTTTGATGTCACGTAGCCATTGTATCGGTTGAAGTAATACTTGTTTACTAGCAGGGGTTTGAACAAAGCCTTTCCTACTTTTTTATCCCTTTCAGAAAACCAACAATTCTTTAGGAACTTTGAATACTGAATGACTCTCAATCACTGTCAGCTTTAGTAGAATATCTTTCTTATCTTAACAAGTGTCTTATGTGATGGAAGAAGAAATAAGAGTGATGGTGATGGTGTACACATTTCATTCATCCAACCAAAAACAATGAAACAAAATTTGAGCCACAGTATACCACCAAATTCTTTCTTGGGATAAAGCTAGATGTTTTGAAAAATCGTATTTTCCTTCAAGGCTTCTAATAGAAAACCACTTTTTGCACACCAAGATGTTACCCTTTGTGCCCCCCACCCCCAGAATGGGCATGACATCTCTTGTGGCCAAATTTCCCTCCCAGGGAATGATTTTCAGTGCTAGGCTCATTGGACTCAGTTCCCCAAATTGAATGTTTCAGTGAGACCTGAGGAATGCCAGGCTCACCAAGGGAAAGAAGTGTGAACAAGGCAAGGTGTTTGGTTCTGTTCGTCACTGTTTTTAAAGCTGTATGCTAGCACACCAAACTCTTGTCTGTATTTACCTTCGTACCACAGTATTAATCACTATTGTTCATGTATCGTGCTGGAAGTCTGAATTGATATCAGCTAGAGGGAAAATTAGCAAGGGGGTTTTTCCCCAGGTATGATCTGACTTCCGTTGTGACCATGTTATAATGTGTTTCCGACATAGGAGAGTTGTGCTGCTGTCTAGATCTTCTTGAATGTTGATAAAAATGAATGACTACTACAATACATTTTGTGTTGCTTGTTGGATGAATTTGCATGTTAATTGTAGGCCAATATAGATTTGCCTTTAAAACTCTGAAGGAGCTACATAGTCATCATTAGTTTTATTAATTATGCATCAGACAAAAGCCATTTGTTACCAAACTGGAAGCCAGAGGCTTTTCTTAACAACTTCACGTACTGCAACAAGTATGAATTTAAATTTGTGGAAATTCTCTGGTTGCTCTAAGCATAATTAAGAATTTTTGTAATTAATAGGTTGCTAATTATTTATTATAGTTAAAAGGATAAAAGGCATAAAATGACCTTCAATTCATTAGATTTTCAGTTTTCTCCAAAACTGGAAATGCCTCACCATAAATAAGATCTATAAATTTGTTTCATAAAACATAAAAACTCAATGTTTTATGTAGAATATTAAAGTATTAATATAAATATGTGAGAATAAAAGCAATCTAAATCCAAAAATGGCAGTCCTAGAAGTTCATGGAACAGATTGTCTTAATTTAACAGGACTATGTAGAAGTGGAAAGAAAAGAAAAAGAAAAACCTTTTTCAACCAGGACAACATTAAACTCATTGCAGATAATAGTGGATTTGGGGATTCAAACATTTTTGACAGTGTAATGGAAATTTTTTCTGTAATTTTCTTATCACTGGGTATTTTTTAAGGTATATTGAGTTTACCAAAATTCAACTCTAGCTTAAAAAGATCTGTGAGCACTATTGGCAGAAACTGCACTTGCAAATAAAAATAAATGTTTGCCTTTTCCCCCTTTGTGTTATTGTCAGCTTCTCATTTCCCAAATTTGTCTTATTGAGTAGCCAAGAATGGTTCTTTTGGGACTCTGAGGAATGTAAATGAGTTGGTTTTAAGTTATTTATAGAGCCATGATGAAGTCATGAGCTGAAGACAAACATTGTCTCCAGAGATTACCAATAATGTAAGATTGTGATAGAGACATCACTACCACTATTGAGAGAAAATGTTATTGAAATCTGGATGGTCAAGTGTGAGGAAAGCCAGGTTCAGGGCTAAAGAGCCCTTCCACCTCTCTGCGTCAAAGATTCTGGACTCATCTGTGGACTTTAACGATGAATGATATGAAAAGGACATGGATTGGAGAAGGTAGTGAGAGCTGTCACCCTGGAAGACAGCCGTGGGTCCCCTCCTCCTCTTTGGATGTCAAGGGAGACATTAACATTGATGCTGTGCAGTTGATGGAGATACTATGCATAAGAGCACAATTTATTTCTGGAAATTCAGAAAGGTGAAAGCCCTGAGGAAGTAGTCTGACATAGCAGGATGGGAAAGGCCATAGTATATCCTGTGCCAAGGAAGTGGATGATGGAGGCAACCTTTCCCAGATCAACTCCTTGGCCTGTGGTGAGATGAAAGAAGCTGTGACACTCTCTTGATTCTGTTTGATGAAGCATGGAGAAGAAGCAGAGAAGATATCAAACCACTCAGTCAATGAGCTGCCCATCCCCCAGAGTGCATTAGAGGCCTGCACCATAGGAATGGCAGGGAGATACGGCTGAGTGGACCTGAAACTCAAAAATCCATATATAGCAATCACCAGGTCCCCAACCTTTTTTCTCCAGGAAGTTGTTTCATGACAGCTCATTTTTCCTTGGGGCAGGGACTTGGGGAAATGCTTTTGAAACAACTCAAGGGAACATGCAACCTACGTCCCTTGCACGCACAGTTTACAGTAGGGTCCTAGTGCCAGTGCTGGTTTGACAAATGAATGGTGGCGCTCATTTAGTAATGCACCAAATGAGCTATAAATACAAGTGACATTTCTCTAGCTTACTCCCCTTACTCTCTTCTTTGCAGACCAGTATTGGTCTATAGTCCAGGTTCACAGTACACATCAAGACCATTCTAAACAGCAGAAGTGGTAGTTATCAGGTGAAGTCAAAATGAGGTGGAGGATTTCTACTTTATTCCAATAGCCTCTCAGGGCTGCTGACTACAACCAGCAAGGTTTCTAGAACTTCCCTTTCCTGGATTTGGGCCGTGTGACATCAAGAAACCTTGTGATTTGAGGAAGCTTAAAAGAAAGTAGGAATGAGAGAGCATAGCATATCCTGCCACTATCTCCCTGCTGCTACTTTTTTCTCTGGTACTGGGTCAGCCTGAGCAAAGGAGAGATGTGTCATTTCTTAACTAGAAGGAGATTGATTTTTTTAAAACTAGATTAGATAAGTGGAATCAAACTGAGTTATGGTTGTATCCCTATTGTCCAGTGGAAAGGATGTACTCAGTAGCAATTACCAGAGACACAAAATCATGTCATGAAGTTAACAATCAATGAGTTCAGACTCCTTGGTCAAATCTATCAAAGGACAGAGGTGTGTCATCAAAGAAATTGCAATGAGATTCCGGGAAGGGGGAAGAAAGATCATTTCTATCTGAAAGAGAGACATAATGTACCAGCTGAAGAAATTTTTTGAAAGTGACATTGTTACCAGCTACTTAGGTCTATGTGTTCAGGTTAATTTGCTCACTGCTGACTAAATCAAGGGAGGCCATTTATTTTTGTAAAAAAGAAAAAAGGTTTTATTTGAAGTTAGATCCAAGGAGATAAAGGGACCTCACCAGCTATATCATCATCTCCCAGTATGCCAGGGGTCACGGTCAAGGGATCTTGAGAGAGAGGCTACAAGAAAACAAAAGACTTGTCCAGGCTTGCTTCATCACTCCTAGACCCTGTCATCTTCCTCCCTTCTCTGTAGAAATCAAACTGACTTTTGACCTCTTGGTGTCCATTCATCCGGGCTGACCAGACATGAGGGGTTAGGTCCTAGGCCTGTAGAAGTTTGAAGAAACATCAAAAGTTAAGGAAAAAAAACCTCTAACTTTTAAACTGCCATTTTTCCTATGCTGATTACAGGATAATATGAATGAATTCACTTTGTGCAGGAAAGTTTGTTGGTGTGTGCCATGAAATATGCGCATTGTGAGTCTATTTACCTTGTTATGGATTAGACCAAAGAAGAACCTAAGACTAGGACTATTTAGGAGATGGTCCTGGGAAGCTCCTTATGACAAAGAGAAGAAAGGAGACAGAAAGCAAGCATGGCAAAAAAAAAATATTTTGCTGAATTAGTGATCTCTGTGAGCTGAATCCCATTGGAGACTTTCTAAAAGATGCTTCAGAATGTCCTTCTAAGGTGAGGATGCTGAGGTACTGATCCACCATCTCTGTGGCATCTTTATAGTTGACAGTCCTAGGGCATCAGCCCCCAGATGATATATCTAATAGCTTTCTGTACCCCAGTTGGTACAGAAAACTATTAGATATATGAGCAAGTGCCATTCAGGAAGGGCAAGGGGACCTAGATGGAACTGTGGCAGCATCTCTTACATAAGTAAACTGTTCTTTGTTACTTTTCTCATTGCTTGGACAAAATGCCAACACCCATGATTTAAAAGAGGGAAGGTTTATTTTAACTGACAGTTAGTAAAGGTTTCAGTCTATAGTCAGCTGGCTACAAGGGAGGGTGACATGTTAGAGGGGCATGGCAGAGGAGAAACAGTCCATGGTGTGGCAGGCAGACAACAGCATGCAGTCAGCCTCTCTTTCTCTTTTATTTAGTACAGGTTACAAGTCTATTGGTTGGTGCCATCCACAGCTTTCATCTATGCCCATAACTATGTCAAACCAATCAGTGGAATAATTTCATCATCACACACCTTTAATACATATGCACATATCCAGCCACCTCTGGTAAGTCCCACCGATGAGTGCATGAGGCTTTGGGACAGCATCTAGATACCAACTATAACAGACCTAATTAAGGATAAATGAAGAAATAAAGTCTATGGGTTGCTGATTTCTGAATCAAAACATGGTCTTTCAAATGTAAGTCATTCCTTATCCTGAAAGGTTTCCCCTGGGGACAAATCCATGCCTCATTATTAGCAATTTATAAAATTTAAAGCTGAAAAGGACTACAGGACCTTTTATGACCCACTTTAACTAAAATAATCAAGACCCCAAAGAGTTAGATAATAACTTCACGGTAATCATAATATCCACATATACTATGTACATACATGCATACATACATACACACAAGCATACACATATGCATATACACACACAAATTTAAGTACTATTAGGGCAGAAATTTTTACCCATTTTGTTCATTGATGTGTCCCCAACACCCAGAACTGGTTCTGGAAAGTACATGAGCAGCACCAACAAATACTTGTGATCTTATTTGTCCTGTGGGCCTCTGTGAATTCTTCTGTAGCAGAGCTGAAGTAGCATAGTCCTGAGTCTATTAGCACCTGGTCCCTCTTGGCTACCTAAAATGTTGAACTCTTTCTCAGCAAAAAGAAGTTTTTAAATGCATAAAATAAAATATATGTGATTTTATGAAGAAATCCACTTAAAGTATAATTATCAAATATATTGTGGCTATAGTGCAGTAGATAACATGACCTTGTGATGGGTCTAATAATTATCACCACATCAAAATAACTGGTAAAATGATTTTTTGATGTGATTTGTACTGATGACAATTTCATGAATGCTATAGAGATTTGACACCTGTGTTCATAATTAAAGGAAATGACCTTTCTATTGAGGTTGTTAAACACTAAAGGCATATAAAAATATGCCTATCCAAGTTGAGAGACTCCAACAGCCCCCCGTTATTTCCAAATTGATAACCCTGAGCAGTTTCCTGGGCTGCAAGTGGGAGAAATTCTTGCTTAGAAACATACTCTAGACGCAATAAATGGACACAGAAAATTGTGCCTGCCAGATAAGAAAAGCCCTGACTTAGTTTCTTATGATTTTCTACAAACTCTTATCTGTAAATGATACTGGAATAAATGTTAAGATGTGTGCTAGAAAAATGCAATTAATAATGTCTTTCGTGTGCATCTCCAATGTGCAAGACAATGTGTTAGTGATCTAAATGCACTTTCACAAGTCCTCAGATAACTTCAAGGATAGAGGAAAGAGCTCCACTTTCAAATGAGAAAATGAACACTTGGAAGCCTGATAATTTGGTAAGGTTGTGCAGACACTGACCTTTACTTTTAACCATAAATTTTCTGCCATAAAATTACCTGGGGACCACAGTAAATAATAGATTTAGGGTCTCACCCTAGGGAGATTCTCCATCAGCCTTAGCACTAACAACTTTTTCAGTGGTCTCCCAAGATGAGTCAGTGGAGGCTGCCCTCAAATTGCATTCTGAGACGTGGTAATTTAAAACTGTCTGGGTCTGATCACTAACTGTTTGCAGTGAGGGGAAGTTGGTTTTCCATGTAAAACCCTGGCTTTTCAGGTGACTTTCTGGGGTAGTGACTATGCCCAGTGCTCAGCATCCCGTTGCACAGATGTGGAATTCTATCAGAAATGATCAGTCTTAATGTCTTCCTTCTCGTGTCTCTATTCTCATTTCTGTAGTGCCCTCCACACCCACACAGCTTTGTCAAGTCTTTGTTAATGGGAAGATTGGACAAGTGGCAAAAAGAAAGTGGTTGCAGATTTTGGTCTTTCTCAGACTTCTGGTGAGAAGTCTCAAACTCTGGGAAGCAATTTCACTATGAGCTATTTCCTGGGAATACCTGCAAAGAAGCATGCTCAGAATTTAAAGGAAAGAAATCTGCACATGGTTCGACACCAGAGAAATGAGAGTGGAGAAGTGAGAGGACAGATGATAAGAATGACCATTTCTGCTGGAACTCCTTCTCTGTGGTGCAGTGTGAGCTCATGGGCTGCTTCTCTTTCAGGGGACATCGCCACTGGGGTTACAGGAGAGTCTCACTTAAAGGGAGAGACAAGGACTCCCTCCATCCCTACTCTACTTGCTCTAAATATGACTATTTAGAAAGTTAGTATAATCCAAACTAGATGTATTTCTCGAGAAAATTTTACTATATTACATTTTACTGCAAAAGTTTAAGCTATTATGCCCAGGTTAGCTTGTTAATCTGAAGTGAGATGCTAAACTCAAGACCGAGAGGCATCGGAAGCACATTAGTCCTATCATTCCAGAGGTCTCATTATTAAAACTACTTATGTTTGCCAAAAAAATCCAAGGCTTTTTGTCTTAGAAAGTCAACTTGGATCTCAAAAGTCCCTCAAACATTTCACACATGGGCCTTTGGGAGATGATAAAACCTTCAAGAGGTGGGATCTGTGGAAGGAAGTTAGGCCTTTGGAAGGGTCACCTGGAAGCAGCTATGAACCCCAGGCTCTCCTGATCTCATTGTCTTTGTTCACACCATGAGGTGAACAGATCTCTACAACGTGCTATTGCCATAATGTACTAAGTGCAAAGCTACAGGGCCAGGCAGCCATGGACTGAAAGCTCTGAAATCGTGAGCCAAAATGAACCTTTCCTTTTTCCTTTTATTTTTTGGCAGTACTGGGGGTGGAATCCAGGGTTTTCTCAGAGAGCTACACCTCAGCTCCTTAACTTTTTGAGATAAGCTGGTCTCACTAAGTCATTAAGTTACCCAGGCTGGGTTAAAACTTGCAATCTTTCTGTCTCAAACTCCCAGAGTGCTGAAACTACAGACATGGGTAACTGTACCTGGCAAGCTTTCTCTCTTATAAGGTGTTTGTCTCAAGTGTTTGTCACAGTGAGAGGACGCTAACAAAACCCTCATTTCATCCCTACCTCTTCTTTGCTTTTACTTTTGCAGAAAGGAGAAACAATCCTCTGGATGCCTCTACATCTTGATTTGGTTTTCTTTGTTTCAAGAAAGTAGCCAAAGACCAGAGAGTAGTGTGTTTTAATTCATTTTCAAAAACAAACTCACATGTCCAGGTCCTATTATTTGGACCTGACACATTATGAATTCCAAACAATAGTGCATAGTTACATTGAACAAGTTCTTGTGCTGCAGAGTCACTGGGCGCAGGGAGCAGTGAAACATTCCCAAGACAATCACTAGACATGCAGAATGCCAGCCAGAAGCGTGGATCACTTTCAGGGGTCTTGCTGCAGGGAGCATGAGGTTGTATTTTGTGTGCACTGAAAACTGTATAGGTAAGCCAGCGGAGGCTAAGGGGTAAAGCACCCCTCTTCTTTTGAACTTAAAGAGGTTTCCTCCCAAGGGAAGTGTTTCCAGTCCCTAAACTTCAGGGCCAGAAACCTCTCCAAGTAGGATTTGCTGCTCCTTGGAGAGTCAAAGCCAGGCCACCACGGGCATGAAAGTTGGCTGACCCCCACCTCCTTACCCGCCAGCATGGGGAGAACAGCTACCATTCACCCTCACCCCATGCATCCAAGGGACCACCACCCCTGGGTTTAAGCATGGATGCAAGCCAAGCAAGCCCCAGACACCAGGCCTGTTGGATTGTAGCTATGCTGATATATCCTGTGTACAAGGTGGAAAGTGCTTTTTTTGTTCTACCTGATCCAGCTGGGGACAGGACTTGGGGGTGCCCTTTTAACAGCCCCTAGCCCATGTGTTTGTACTGGGATCGGTCCCTAGGAATCTGCACTTGGTTGGCAGTCATTTTGTGGTGGATGTGGTAGATCACCAGCGTTACCACGATGACAAGGCCCAAGATAAGCCCCAAAACTAGGGGCAAGGTTTCCTCCAACTGCTCCCGTTCATCTACTGGGCATTTATGCTCTGAAACAAAAGAAGAGGAAAAGCAATGAGCTTCAGACAAAATTTTCCAAGTCTCCAGTCCCCCTATCTAAACTAAGGCAGAAATGGAGATGCAAAGATCTCTCAAAGATCTCTCAAAGAACTTTTGAGGAGATTATATTTTTTTTCCCAGAAATAATACTTCCCCAACAAACTCAAAGGCTTCTCAATCAAGTATTTCTACACAGGGTACAGTAAACATGTATCAGTTAAATAGGGCAACTCCTGACAGGTAACAAAACATTCACATGATTTATTTACATTTTCAGTGTTTTGATAATAGTATATCTTTTTTTGTGGTTTGAGTTGTTTTGTTTTGTTTTGTTTTGTTTTTTTTCTTTTTATCAGTACCGGGGATTGAACTCAGGACTGCCTGCTTGCAAGGCAGGTGCTTATGCCGCTGAGCTAAATCCCAGCCCCATCTTTTTTTAACTTTTACAGAAAGTATAGCATATATACAGAGCATAGAAAATTGGACATAAATATACGATCTTCAGAAAGACTGAAAATTCCAAGTGTTGGCAATGATATTGAGCAAATGGAACTCAGTGCTCTTGAAGAAAATGGGCATGACCACTTTGTAAAACTGTTTGGAAATTTCTACTCAAGACAAATACACATTTACTTTATAACCCAGCATTACATTCCTGAGTTTCTAGCCAAGAAAAATGAAAATATATGGACACATAAAGACTTCAGTCTAAATGTTCACAGATTTCTTGAAAATAGCCAACAAACAGAAACAATAAAGATGCCTATCAAAATGGAAGAAACTGTAGTATAGCTTACAATAATACTGGAAATGTTGAGTGAAATTTGTCAGACACATACACACACACACACACACACACACACACACACACACACACACACACGAAACCCCACATACTGTACGGTCTCATTTAGTTGAGTCCAAACACAGGAGCTAGATCTGGGCATGGTGTAATGCATGACTGTGATCCCAGCACTCTGGAAAGCAGAAGCAGGAGGACTACAAGCCAAAGCCAAAGCTGAACACTTTAGCAACTTAGAAAGACCCTGACTCAAAAATCTCAAAATAAAAAGTAAAATGAGCTGAGGAATTTGCTTAATTTGAAGGCTCTGTGCTCCATGCCACAAGGGGAAAAAAAGAGAATAAAAAGAGTAGGTAAAGCTAAATCTGTGGTAATTGAAATCAGAGAGGTGCTTGTAACCAGAAGAAGTGACAAAGAATTTTTGGTTGTCATGGAAATGTTGTAGGCCTTCATTTAGATGATGTCTGTGTGGTTGCAAGGATAGATAAAAATGCAAAAGCTGTATATTTTTTAAAACCTTACACTTTAAACATTATACTTTAAAAGTACATGTACTTTAAAATTTGTGCTTTTTAAACATATGTAAATTAAACTACAATTTTTAAAAAGAAATGTAGAGTCTGATGAATATTCACAAGTCAACCCTCTGCATAACCATCATGCAGCTCAAAAAAGGAAAATGTCAGTCACACACTGGGGCTGATTCAGTTTTACCATCCCAAAATTTAAGGTAGAGTAGCAGACCTGTATCTCCAGCCTTATAGGAATAAAAATGAAATTCTTGGGAGATCTTCTGCAATCCCAGAAACCAGAATCCATTTGTTCAGTCTCATTTTCTGCCTGTGGGTAACAGGTGGCCTTTTCACCAGATTTATGAGGGACACTATAGAAAACGGATTTTAGATATCTCTTCAGGAAGGTCAGGTTTTCATGTCGAGATGACCTAGTCAACATGGATCAAGCACCTACTGTGTGGCAGAGCCCCCCATGATCCCCATGACCTCACTCCTTCTCCCACCATGTGTGAGATCAGCAGAAAGAAGGGTGTGAGCCCTGACCCCCGGAATATTTCCTTTCTAATGATAAGAGTTCACAGAAAATTTTATGCAAATATACCCAAAAAAAGATGTGTGCTTAATTTTTCCTGAATGAGGTTCCTGAGTGAGCATTGTTTGAAGCACAGAGATGCCTATATCCATTATACGATAACTTGTAAATGACATGATTAGACCCATTTTACAATAAGGTGATTGAGGCAAGAAGAGGCTGAGTCATGTGCCCACATCACAGCTGACCTCAATGGTATATATCTTTAGTGTCACTGTGACAGCACTTAGCCAGCCTAAACAGCTGCCACCATGAAGCTGTGGGACCCCAAGGAGAAGTGGAAAGGAGGGCTTATGGGCTCACTCCCCATCTGTGCACCAGCCACGGGTGCACATTCAGGTTCTGAAGACACAGGAGCTGGATACTTTTTGCAAGGGACATGTGGAAATGTTCAGGGGTCATGGATATGATGGGTTTCTTGCTTCTATGGTTTCATAGTAGATGCATAAGCCAGTATTTATCAAATTGTGCCCTCAAATGTGTACAGTTTATTACATGTCAGTTATTCCTAAATAAAATTTTTCATTCTATATACTTCAGTGTTCTTTTTTTCTGAAAACATTTTTTTTAAAAATCTGGTAAACAGTAGAGACATGTTAAGATCCTACTAGTGTTACAGTGCAGTGAACCTTCCTGATAATAACTAGAATGTTAGTAATGAATTGGTAGAGGAACTTTCTGTCCTGTATCTGACTAAACTGTAATAAATTCCAACCTGCTGAGGGTCAGACTAGGCTTGCTCAGCATTCACAGAGCACCAGGGACACAAGAGTGGTGGTCTTTCCCAAGGGTACCACATTAGCTCTAATCTCTGGCTTACAGAGGTTGTTGCTCACTATGATTTATGTCTAGCTGTGTTCCCAAAGCTTCACGCAGTGATAGTTTTTTGGGAGATTGTTGAATCTAAAGGTTGTGACTCATTTGTAGTCAATGCTGGGATGAAGGGTACTGGGATGAAGGGTGGCCACCTGCAAGATCAGTCTACTGATTGGGTTGGCAACATCCTAATCCCAGCAGTCTGGTTAAAATCAAAGAGGCAGAAGGAGGTCTGTGTCCCACTTTTTTGCTCTTGTTCTTTTTGCTGTCTTCCTTGCCATCCTGTCTTACAGCCAGCTGATATGGACAGAAACCGCTACAAACTGTGAGCTAAACCTTTCCCCCTTTAAGTTTAGGTGTCAGATATTTTGTCTTAACAACAAGAAAAGTAACTAAGACATAGCTCAAATATGCTTTGCAATCTCGGCCTTATAGCTCTGGCCCCTGGTTCTATCCTTCTCCCCACAGAATAGGAGGATGATTAGACCAACCTGTCTGACATGGTTTCAACTCATTTTTTTTTTGCTTGACCTCTAGGTATGCAAATAGCTGGAAGTCCCAAATATAGTCTATGCCCTACTGGATATGGGAGACAAAGACAGAGAGAGAGAGAGAAGTTGGAAGGAAGGTAGGAAGGGAGAGAAAGGAAGAGGAGGGAGGAAGGAAAGGAGGAATACAGGAAAGGAGAAAGGAAGAAGGAAGGAAGGGAAAAAATTCCTCACCTTCTGAGTAGTCAAATAAAATGAAAATTCCTAAATTGTGCATTCTAAAATCCACAAAGCTCTAAAAATCAAAAGCTCTTTGTATTGTTCATTTGCAGCAAAACCTAACATCAAATCCAGTGAGGCTGTCTGTAGTTCTCCTTCATCCTACTTTACATGAAGACTCACCTGTTTCCCTGCAGGAAACAGATATGCTACTGTGTCCGATTGTAAGGCACCACCCTAAATCTCTGGGAGTCTCACATAACATATGTGGGCTATGGACCGTACTGCCTTCCTAGAGTCTGAAATATTCCTAACTCTGAAAAACAAGTACCTCTAAGACTTGTAGACAAGTTTGGTATGATGAACAATAGAAGTAGGACATGCTTTCCTCTAGGTTTAACCTAGAGATTCAAATTCTGCCTGTGACCTACAGGAGAAACAATAACAACTTAGAATATATGTACACACATAACTAGAACATAAGATTTGTAAATAGTGTATTATATACACTGTCGTGTGCATTGTGCATCTGATATGTTACAGTCTAGATGTTGAGTAGCCCTCATTAGCCATCAAGGGTATGGCCACCATGCCATGGCACTAGTAGGTGGTGCTGGAAAATCTAGGAAATGGGGCCACATAGAAGGAAGTCAGGTCCCTGGGGCTTGCTCCTGAAGGGGATACTGGACCCCCTGCCCTTCTTGTCTTTTTCTTTCATTGCTTCCTAGCCACCATTAAGTGAAAGATTTCCACTGTTGCATGCTCCCACTCTGATTACTGTGCTGCCATAGGGCCAAAGCAACACAACCAAGCAACTCATGAACCAAAGCTATGAGTCCAACTTTTTTTCCTTTTAAAATGATTACCTCAAATTTTTGTCACAGTAATGGAAAAATAAGTCACACATAACTATTTATGCTCCATTCTATCTTCTTTCACCTAAAGCTGGTTATAATCCACTAAAGCACAGATGCTAATCTTTTAGGGTCAGGTATGTGGGAGATCACTTAGAGTAATTTTTCTAAATGCAAAAATTAAAACAAATAAGAATATAAAGAAACTAAAATTTGACTATCAAAATATCTTTTAAATATTTTGCTCCTTTATTGCCATGTGTATATCTGGACTGTGATTATAAAGTAGCAAGAAACATAAATGTTATTTTAACATCTGTATAAGTTAATGTGAGATAAAACATCTATGATTTCTACTGGTGACAAAGCTAAAGTTACTGCTAATGGTGCTATCAGTTATTAGTTTGATTTATGACAAAAGTGAATATTAATTATAATTTATGAAAATAAGAATGTGACCGTTTCCATTGAAATTTACAGACCTCTGAATTCTACCCACAACCCCTATGAACTCATGGGTTAGAACCCTGTACAAGACCCAATTATACAACACAGATTATACAAGAAAGGCTTCAGCTCTCTGCCAAACACATCCTTTAGCGTACCCCACATTTTACATATCCTTTAGCCTATCCTACATTTTACATATCCTAGGACCCCTGAATCCTTGTCCACCCCCTGAGTATTTTGGGTCCCTCATGTCCTGTGTCTTACTGGACACAGCCAGAGTATACAAAACAAGAACGTGGGTAAGTGTCCTGTGGTTGGAAAAGGTGCCAAGCAGCCCTGTCATTGAGAAAACAGGAAGACAGATGAGACAGCAAAGAGCTTATCTGTTGCAAGATGCCTGTTATCAAGTAAGGTCCCCTACCATGATCCCAGAGCACCCATCAAAATCATGATGAGTCATAGGTTCTGGCTGTTAGATGTCAGTTTTATTTTATTGTTTGATGACCATAGCACTTTAAATTTTATTAACTCTCTACAAGAGCTCTTCGTGTGTTCCAATAAAAACTTTGTGGGCAAAGGGCCAGGCTTTCTGTTTCCTAATAGTTCTCCTAATACTAGGGCTCTCCCTGTATGAATATGAGGCTGTGCTTTGCTGGGCGTGCATCCCTCTGTAATCTGACAGGCTAGCTGCACAGAGAGGTCCGACCCTCTTTTTATATTGTCTCTGAGTTGACTCTGGACTCCTGTGAAGTGTTTATACTGATAAATGATTAAAATAAGTAGCAGATATTCTTATCAAGATGTAAACACTAGATATGAAAAGCAACTAAAACAATAATTGTTTTATAAACCCTTTCCCACCAGACCGTAAATACCACCATGCAAGGAAAGTTCTTACTTCTCAAGCACAAGGATACTAGGCGTGCACAGTGTCCTATTTTCTCTGTGTATCCAGCATTCCAACACATTCCAGTGGACTCTAACTACAAGGCAGTCAGAATCCCAGAGTTAAGAGCCCAAAGCATCTCTTAATGCCAATGGCAGTTGGTAGGTAAGCACCCCCATTTCCCCACTCCCTCAGGGGGAAGTAATTCTGAGGGCTACTCTATGTTGTCTCCAAGGGACAGTGCCTGGAACGCAGAATTCTACAGCTGGCTACAGAGCCCGAAGTGGGCTCCATACTGAAGCCCTTGATACCATTCTCAGCTGTGTTATAACCAGACTATTGCCACCTAAGTCACAAATCCACCCAAATTCTCTGGATCAGCAAATTTCCCGAGTGCTTGTGACAAGGCTTCTTACCACAGGGGTCTCTCCCAGAGAGTAGTGTACAGAGAAAGGTAAGGCATATTCATTTCCACCAAAACATAATCTCCCATAGAGGGCATCTCCCAATTAAGCTGTTAGGAACAATAATAAAAGGCTTTTAGGGGTAAATCAGTGGTGTAACTCAGGGGTAGAGCACTTGCCTAGCATACAGAAAGCTGTGGTGGGTTTAATCCCCAGAATTAAAAAACAAACAAACAAAAACCTCATGAATTTAGGGTCCCAAAAGATGTCTCTACCATTGCCTTGACACTTTTTTTTTTTTTTTTTTTTTTTTTTTTGGCACCAAGCATCAAACTCATGACCTCACACTTGCCAGGCAGGCATATACTCTACTGAGCTAAACCCACAGCCCCTGTCTTGACACATTTGTTATACCTTCCGGGCAGGAGCAGAAGGTCTGGGAGGCTGCAGGCACAGGATTTGGGAGGGCAGCCTTCACCAAGCAAATTCATCTCTAGCTTGGCCTTCCGTTGCTGCTTTGCAAAAGGAGACCTCAGTCTCTTCCTCAACAGTTTGATTCTTTGTTTTTTTTTTTCCTGAGAATTAAAAAGGGCCCAGCATATGTTTTAAATGTCTGTGAAAGCTAAACCCTGAATAAAAGAGAACAGAGTCAGCCTTCCTGGTCTCGTACGTATTTTTTTTCTTGACAGGAGATATAAAAGTTTTCTTTAATTCAAGCCATCAAAATGTTCAGGCTGGTTCACTGCCTCCCATCGAGGAATCTCCCGTCCCGTCATAGCCAGAAATCTCCCAGGTTCCCAAAGGGACACATTATGAATTAACTGCGGAAGGGCAAGCTAATTAACCTCAACTGAGGAACATGGGCCCACGAACTGCAGGGACAATCAAGCAGTCACCATACAAAGTGTGCTTGATAAATATGAGTCAAAAATGGCCTCTATGTCTTGCTTGTTTATTTCTTTACTGCAGTCTGAGATCTCTTAACTCAAAAGGATCCTGGTGTGAAATTCACGTTCTTGCTCATCCAATTATTTTTCAATAGCCCAAACAAGCAAATGCTGAGGTATATAGAGCCTGCCTGTTTGGCTTGACAGCCAACCTAACAGCTATTACCTATTGATAAGATCAGGCCTTGTAGTTATAAGGCCCAAAAGCACTGAAATCTTAGGAGCCAGACTCCTCCATTCCTCCCACTGTTGTGCTGCTAAACAGCATCACCCAGACACGTATGTCCTCGCTCCCCAGGAGTTCCTCGCCCTCCTCTTCTCTGCTGTGTGGTCCTTGTGCTATGTGCCTCTATCCAGACAATCTCATACAGTGAAGAGTTTCCCATCTCATACAATGTGGATTCTCATCTAATAAAGCTTGTTTACCCTTCAAACCTTCTTCAGCAGTGGTGGAAAACCTATGGCCTGCATACTGCAGTGGGCTACTTGTTACCATTGAAAGCTCTAAAAGATTCACCATCATGGCTCTGTAGGAGCCTAGAAACTGTTTAGCAATGGAAGATGTTGGGCCCCACCTTCATATCTACTGAACCAGACTCAACATGTTATGGTCACCCTAGTTTGCACACTGTAGCTCAAGATGCTTGTGCATGTGGCAACCAGAGGAGTGCTAGGATAGAGACTCTCATCCGGGAATCCGAGTGGTAGATGAGCATAATGCATTTAAAGGGACTCATGTGATAGACATATCAACCCCCATTTGGGATGCTCTCAGTCCCAGCAATCCATTTCACTGATCTTTTCCTGCTTTTCTCATACAGTCAGTCTATTGAGTAGGCAGCTGTGACGACTGTCAGGTATAACCTCCTCACACGTAAGAATCCTTACGCTGTGCTGGACTGCAGACACACACACACACACACACACACACACACACACACACACACTGTAGTGGATGGGCAGATATATGACCAGATGCCAGGCTTTCAAGCAGGCCTGCTCCAGTCACATTCACACAGGTATCCACAACATACTGAAAGCCGCCCCCCAACTTCATTCTGAGGAGTGGGGTTCCAGGGCTGGAACCAGAAAAAATATCCCAAACAGGATCTTTCAGATTCCAATAAACGGAACATAAAGTCTTTCACAGAACATAATAGGAGGCAGGTGCTGAGAGGAGGAGCCAAGAACAAAAGAACCCCTTCCAGCAAAGGCACAGGATTCAGTGAGTGATTTTGAATGAGGCCGGCCTCCTCCCAGGAGAACACAGGCTTGAGCCTGGGGGACCACACAGGAGAGAACATCCCAGTTATTATCCAACACAAGTACAATTTGCTTATATTTGCTAGATTTTATGCTTAGGAAATTACATATGACTGCCAATACCTTAGGTCCACTAGCAATGTAGCACCCAGAAACATAAAAATTGCTTTTAAAACAAAAGAGATCAATGCTGGCTTCAGCAGCAGAGACACTAAAACAAAAGATATCATTAACTTCACATGGTAAATTTTACCCATTTGTAGCAATGTAGCTCCAGTTCTAATTCAGTACTTATTTAGGCTTTGTAAACAATTTTAAATATATATGAAATCTAATTTTTTCACTCCATAGACAACTATAAGCAATGATAGCGAAATAGTTCAGAATGGGGTATGGTGGGATTGTGGTAAGGTAAGGTAAAAGCATGTTACAACAGCAGTAGTACCAAAATGTAAAGAAGTATCTAATAAGAGCTGATCACCAAAATACAAAGTCACTAATGAGAATTAAAATACACACATAAACTAGGAAGTATTTGTAGTAGAGACCCTGTAAATGATACAACTACACAATCTGATATTTTCATCCTAAATTCCTGAACATCAAGAATCACAGTCAAATCACATCTAATTACATTTAATATTCCCAGTTTCAGAATGACACTCATCATTATGGTATATAAATATTCAAAATATTTCAAGATAAAAGATAAAAGAGCAGAAGCTGAGGACATAGCTCAGTGCAAAGGACCTGTGTTCAATGCAGTTCTCACTACGGAGAGGAAAGGAAAAATACATCAAAATGAAATTCCCTATCCTTCCTTGAAAATGGGTAAGTGTGACATTGTTTTTAAAAATATGTTACATTCTGATTGTCTGGCATACAAGCACTTCAAAGTGTCTATTAATTGAATGGACAGTTTCAAAATATCAATTTAGGCAAAAGTAACCCTACATCTGTATCCAGCCTGGCCCCATGTTACATGCTAATAATGCAAAGATTAAAGGAGAACCAGACCTGTCTGTCAAGGACAATTTAAGTTAGGGATTCCCAAATGCCTTTGGAGTAATCACAGGATGGTAACGGGGCACTGCATTTGGAAGTCGCTGTGTGGAAGCTTATGAAAGCTGGAGACCTTGGGAAATGGGGGTGGGTGGCACAGACAGGGATTTCCTAATCATATTTGCATGTTAAAATAGTAGTATTCACCTGGGGATCCCCAGCCCAAAGGCAGGCACATACAAAACAATCAGCAGCTCCTCATAAGACATAAACAGACCATCCGGCTGTCCCTGTACATGGGAATGAGGAAAAGGGAGGAGAGACAAAGAAGAAAGGAATGCGGCAAAGGAAGAAGGGCGGGAAGAAGAAAGAGCAAGCCACCGGGAGAGCTGATACATTCAGCTTCGTGACTCTTTAACCTTTGAAAATTGTTAGAGACGGTGGCACTTAACCCTAAGAAACTCCAACAGAAGCATCCTGGGATACTGGCAGAACCCTCTCCTCACCTGTCCTTAAAATCTGCCATTCCTCCTCCCTTCCTCATGACTCTGCCCACAACGTACCTTCACTGAAGACAAAATCTGAGATGATGTCAAAGGGTTGGATGTGGACAGCAGACAGGATCATAGTGACAGTCTTCTGGGGATCACTGGAGGCCAGAGAGATGCTCTGCTGAGCTTGACACTCATAGGACTTCCCAGCTGGGGTCACCAAAGCAGAGAGGTGATGCGAGTTGGCCGTGTGCTTCCCAGCTGCAGCAAAGGCCCAGGTCAGCCAGCAGTTAGGCTCCTTCTCTTACCCCGTACAGTTCTGCTCAGCTCAGACACCTGCCCCACCCTTCCTAGCCCCTGCTGTTAGGCCAGAGCTGGGCCTCAGCAAATGGAATTGGGCCATAAAGCACAAACAACATCCGATCTCTGCGCAGAGCTCCTTACATACTTCTTTGGAGTTTCTTTTTGGAAGGAGAGAATGACACACAAAAACCTCCTCAAACCTTTTTACTATATAAAACCCAACAGTTGAGATTCTAAAGACACAGAAGAACAGGAACTTGGTTTCTTTAACACTGGATCAGCAAACAATAAAACACGGTCCTCAACAAAGCGCAGCTGCTTGCTGGTTCTCCGGCAGATGCACGAATATGCATGCCTTGGACAGCTGCCCCTTCTCTCTTTCTCTGGTCCAGGTTCTTTTCCACTTCTCCTTTGTTCTAACTGAACTAGGGGAAACACTGGACTATGAAGTGGAAATTCTCTTTTTACTGCAGCAATAAAGAAAGAATAAAAAAGAGGGATGGTGCATGTATTCTTTTATATCTTCAATAAAAATTCTCTCACAATATAGGTGCCCATCCGGTGACAGAAGGCCTCATTTCAAGTGAGACAATTTAGACCAAAAAAAGAGAAAGTAATGAAATATGGCCTTTGATATGCTTCAAGAAAGATACGTTTTTATTTAGGGGATATTCCTCTTGCCACAGTATTTTTGGACATTTATGGAAGATGTGGGTGAGTTAAAGGAAGGGTAGGCAGGACAAGCTAATCACCTACTCAGAGTACAGAATCCGCTCTGGGGTGGCTGCAGTCCAGGACCGGCCATGGAAGGGAACCATGGTGCCATATACAAAAAGACAGCCAAGGGCATCCAATCCTGACACAAAAGGAATGTCTCACTGTCTACTGTATTCTTAGCACCTGAACAGAAAACTCACGGAGCAGAGAAAAGTTTAAAAAGCTTTGCCCTTTTCCACGTTCCTTCAAAGCCAAATCTTGAGGTCCTTATGAAGCACCAGAGGAAGACGAGGGGAGGTGGGGGTGTCTCATCTAGAATCAGGCCAAGGCTTGAGACACAGGTTCTCTTTCCTCTGCTTTGGAGGTCAAGGCAAGCAGGCAACGCCGGACTGGCCTAGAAGCCCAAGCCCAGATGGACTGCCAAACCCAGAGGAATTACCCTCGGATTCTGGGCTCCCCTACTAAACCCTGCAGCGCAACACTCACCACTGACCGCGTCTTTAAAGTGGGTCTTCTCAGAGGAGTCGTACACAAACTGTACCTTGCTCAGCCTCCAGGTTGCCTCAGGTCCCTTGGACGTGTTGTGGCTTTCCTGCCAAGAGCGAGAGGTACTATCAAGGGCTCCAATGACTTCTCGGCCAGTAAACACAGTCGCCACTACGCCACTACTTCCCCACCCACCTGGGAACCAAGGCCCCTCCGTGCGCGCATTCCAGGCTGCCAGTTACCTTTACAAAGAGCATTTTGAGAGCGTAGGCGCGATCCACCCAGAACACCTGCAGCTCTGATTCATTGTGGCCACAGCGGCCCTTCACCTCGGCTCCCCGGGTCAGTGAGATATCAGCCTGTTCTGTGATCAGCTGGGAACACAGATGCCCGCGCCCCTCAGCGCGCCCAGCCCCCGGGGGCTTTAGGGCGGTGCGTCCAAACTCTGGCTTGCACGTTTGGGCGCTCCTTTGAGCGAGCGCTCTCCCGGGTGCAGGAACATGCGGTTAGATTCTCTACGTGCAGACCCACCGGTAGGGAAGCAGAGAGGGGGGTTTGTTTTCAAAGCAGGCAGGGCGAGCAGGAGACGTTACAAGCTGAACCCCCATGCAGCATTCGGGAGCAGCCTGCAGGGATGTGGGGGAGAAGGCGGGTGACCCAAGGTCTTCGCAGGGCCCTGAGGGAGGGTGCCCTTGGGCCCTGAAGCCCTAGGAGCAAGTTAGGGAGGCAAAGGTTCCTTACATCGACGTAATTGCTGGCCCATACATCATAAGGAACAATAAATTTGGCTGCAAATTCTGCCATGAGACACGTCGTCCCATTTTCCCGCACCACAAATATATCTTTTTCAGGGTTAGTGGAAAGACCCGAGAGATTTTCCACTTCTTGTTCTGCCATGATTTGAGCCACCGTCTCTACGGAACAAATAAAACAATCCCATCAATTTGGGGTTCACGGAGCCACTGCGTCCAGGACGCAAGAGCCAGCGCAGAGCCCGTGGTCTTGGGGTTTGGAGTGATAAAGTTGCACACTAGCTGCTGTGTGCGCCTCAAGCCATTTCGCTAACCCAGCGCTATCCAACTCCACTCATATGCGGTTGATTTATGAGGGGGAGTCTTTATTTATAAGGCTACATGCTAGGGGTTCAGAATCAAATCTTTGTTGCTAGTGCTGTGACCACCGCCCCCACCCCAGCCCGCCAGTCCAGCGCTGTCTGAATTATGCCACTCAGGTATGTGACTCCCCAGAGACTTCTTTGGCAAGGCTGGGGAAAAATTTCCCCCACCTCCAAAGCCGGGGTGGGGGGGGGGGCATGAAACACTAAGACGAAGACCATTTCTTCAGTCCTAATGCCAGTCTGATCCTCTGCAAAGAGTACATGCCTTCCTGCCGGTCGCCAAAACACTACTCACTGAACAGCACGAGGAGAACTCGAAGCGTGCCGACGCGGAAAAGGGCTCTTCCTCGGAGATCCATGCTCCTCGCGCTCGCGGCCAGCGGGGCCAGATGTGCTGCTGCAGAGGCCGCCCGGGAGGGAATCCCTCAAAGTCGCCGCCGGAGCGGAGCGGACCGGAGTGAGCGCAGGGCGGGGGCCGGGGCGGGGGCGGAGGGAGCGCGTGTCCAGTGCGCGCGGGCCAGGACCGGGTAGGTGCCGCACCGGCCTCCGCGGGTCGAGCAAGTCAGCTCACTGCAGAGAAAAGGGGCACGCAGCGAGGGAGCTGTCCGCAACTGCGAGTGCTGAAAGGAATCCGGCGGTGTTGCAGGCGTGGTCGTGACTTGGCTTATGCGGAGGGCCAATGAGATTTGGGGGAGCCTAAATTTTCCCTGGGTCTATTTTCTGTTCTGCAATCCTATCTGCAAAGATGAGTGTGTCCTGAGAAACTTAACAGCATCGGCACCTGAGACCAGCTATTTCACCGAGGTAGCTATCATCACAGCCCTGGAGTCCTGAATTCTAAAAATGCACAGGGCTCCCATAAACAAAAGCAAACCAACAAGAAAGCAAAAAATAAAAAAAGGTAGGCACAAATTGTGGAGGAGGAGGGGAATAGGGGTTGGCAGAACAGAGAGAGAAAATGCTATGGCAACAGTTTCCTGCATTTGGAGACATTCCCTTCTTGGCTCTGCTCTGCTCTGGGTGAGCTCCTGGGTGTACAGTAACACTGATGCCTCCTCACACCGGTCTTCAGAAGCTACAGTGTAACCACTTGAAATTACTGCCCAGGAAGTTCCCTAAGTGGGTAAGGACTCTGAACTCTGGGGTCATCGATCCTCTCTCTTTATAAGTGTGATTCACTCTGCCAGGAGGGCTGTAAATGAATCTGAAGTTTATAAGGTTAAACAGAGATTTTTAGGGTACGAATTTTAGAAGTATGCTGACAGTAATGCCACATTCATAAAAAATCACACTGATATTACTTTCAAGCCTCTAGTAAAACAGAAAAACAAATATTACTGGAATAATTCCCATACTTAATTTTTGGTAGTTTGCTTACTTTTTATTCTTTCTTTTATAAATTAGAATATACATCCTTCAGGAAGAAATATGCTGTCTTTATTCATTGTGGTGATGTCCAAATATTTCATTGTGTGAATAAATAACCATTGCCTCGGTAACATAATGTCATAAAATAAAGTCATGTTAGAAGGCAAACTGCAAAATATTTTCATCTACATTTGATTCTCCCCACAACTTTAGAAGGCAGGGTACATGTATGTTCTTATGCGTATACATGTACCCACACTGAGGTTCAGAGAAATTAAGTGACCTTCTCAAATGTCACATGGTCATTTAGAATTACAATAGAAAAATCGTGTGCTTTAACTTTGTAAAGATCACCTTTTTTCCTCCTTTTTTATATATTGACTCTAAAATATATCATATTTTGACTAGTATAAAATATTTTTTAGCCAGAGATTTAGCTCAGCGCCATAAGCATCTGCCTTGCTAGGGCGCGGTCATGAGTATCAAAAAAAAAAAAAAAGTTTTTTAATGATCAAATAAGCTAAACACTAAAATCCCTATTAGTAATTAAAATTTCAGAAATGTATACTATGATATATTTGTATGTATACTATGATATATATACTATGATATATTTGCTTCAAAGAGTCTGTGATTTTTTTCTTTCAAACATATTGCTGTTTGAATAACTAAGTCACTAGCAATTCAAGTTATGAAGCAATTATTTCAATATATTCACATCTTTACTTTTACAGAAGGCATTTCAGTATTTCATCCAAAACTTTCCCCAAAACTTCACATAAATAATTATAAATGGAAGAATGGAGGCAAAACTGTAACTGACACAAGATCAATTCATATAAACACTAAAAATTGTAAAATTTCTATACTTCACATTTTGTAATGTTAGCAGTGATTATGCTCTATTTTCTCATAGTACTGTAAAATATAGACATATATATTTATAAATGAATCTCACTCTCTTTTCTCCCATCATTCCCACAATTTTAATGGACTTGGTAGATTTCAGGCTAGGATTCAGAATTTATTAGGTTTTTAAGTTTTTGTCTTTTTGAGACAGGGTCTCGCTCTGCAGTTCAGGCTGACCATGAGCTCACTTTGTAGCCCACACTGGTCTCAAACTCCCAATGATCCACCTGCCTCAGCCTCCCGAGTGCTGGGATTACAGGCATGAGCCACCATGCCTGGCTAGTATTTATCAGTTTTATGAATGTGTACACATTTTAGTTTTCCTTGGCCAAAAAAAAAAAAAATGGGATAATACCTAAGGAATGGGTAGTTAGGTTAAATCATGCAATAAATATAAAAACATTCAAAATAAATTATAAATTAATGTAGTCATAAACATTAATTGAATATCTACTATTTACATTATGTTTAGTGCTTTGGAAAGCAAAACATAAATCAATAGCCTTATACAAGTAGGAGAGATGCCTGTGAAATATTGTGACTATTTCTTTTGTGAGATGTTATTACAAATATCCTTACCTTATAGGCTGTTAATAAATCAATTGATTCACTTCATCTACTTTAATAAAAAAATTGGATGGGAAATATCATTGATTATTGATCTTAACATGTTGCAATTGGTTTATCAATCATATGGTGTTTCCTTTGAAACTATTTTATTTTCCTGCCTAATATGTAACTCTTTTTTGACCTGAGAGTATTCAAATGGTTTGAAAGAAAATATGGAGCTTTTAAACTATTTTTTTCTGAGAGGATTATCTTCAAAATATAATTCATTCAATGTCATTTTTTGTATTTAACTTAAAACTTGATTTATACTTATAAATGTATATTAATTTATTGATCTTATGAAAGGGATTCTTATTTGCAATTGCAATTGGATCATTAAATCCACAGCTTTCACCTACACTAATTTAAAGACTGATCATTTTGAAAAACTACTCTTTTCCTTAAAATAATCAGAGGTGATAAAAGAAAAAACCTTACCTATAAATCGTACCGTAACATATGAACATCATGCCCCAGAATGTGACCCAGCCTTCTTTTCTCAAGTATGAGAAGGGAGGAGAAGCTGGAATAAGTATATGCATTGTAGGGATGCTGCCTGTGTAGCTGTCACCATCCTTGCTGGGGTTTATATATTATGCCAGGTACATATGTGACCCACACATGCTGGAGTTGGAATCTCCCATAGATGTTTTGTGTCTTTCAAAAGATGCTATTTGACACATGAATTTACTTACTAAATCTACCTTTGTGAATATCAGGTTATCAGCTGGTTGCTGTTTTATGCAAGTAGAAGATAAAACCCAAGCATAGAATTTCCAGTTTGGATGGGAAAAAATAAGAACACACATGAAAATCTGGTGTAGCCAGATGTGCACAAGATGTTTACGGGAGAAAAGTAAGCCAGCCTGCCAGAGGAGAGATGAGAATTGATAAGGATGGTCTCTTGGAGGAAGTGGGTCTTCAAAGAAGAGAACAAATAAAAATAACCTGGGGCAGAAGACAAGCAAAGGCAATGCAGATGGAAGAAATAGATTTTGAATAGAGGAATTGATGCAAAGATGTAATGCTTTCATATTTATCAATTTTCAATACAGTAGTAATCAGGACCTCAAATCCACAATACTTTATGTACATTTAATAACCTCTATGAGATTTCTTTCCTTGGCAGTATAAAGAAAAATATTTATTTTGCACAGACAAAAGAATGGCATACGCAAAACTTATTCTAAATAAAATTAAGCTTTTCAAGTTAGGTACCTGTCTTTATACAACTGGTTTGTCTTTGTTGAGTCAAGAGACAAAAGTATGAAAATTAAGAAACAAACACTAAGTAGAAAAGCATATTTATTAGCTTCAAACAATGATGGCTGGGCTTTGGTACAGCTGAAATTCCATTGCTGAGGTTTGAGTTTACCTTACTGTGTAGTGTAAAAATGTGCTCTCCCTCATCCATTTGTCTTCACCATCACCAGAGCCACTTTACATGCATGCACACGCACACACACACGCATGCGCGTGCAGACACACACACACACACACACACACACACACGCACACACGCACACACGCATGCACATGAATAACAGGAGTTGGTAAACTGATGTAAAGATGCCCACAGTTGGTAAGCCTGAATTACTAGCTACCAAAACCTTTGTGTTCACATTACTATGGAACAACTATTTCATTTCATCATTCTAAGAATGTTTGAACTCATCTCTACAATAGAAACACTTTGGAGATAGGAACTAAAAACTAAGTGTACACAAAAATATTTTACGCATATTGCCAAATGCTAGAATTTGGGAGAAAGTTGTGAGAATTGAGTGTGGGCTCATAATGCACTCAGCTGGCGTGGCCTCAGAGTAATTTCCTTCATCTTCTTATTTCTTTGGTTTCCCACATATTTCATTTAATGAAATAAAGGTTGTCTTTGCAAAGACGGTGACCAGTGGAGGGAAAAACACACACACACACACACACACACACACACACACACACACACACAAAATAATAGCCCTTTCATTGACTACTTCATTACCAAATACTTCAGAAAAGCTCTGTATGAATTCATTTAAAACAAATAATGTAGCCACACAGGAATGCAGGGAGGACAGATTCTTATAGCAAATCCCTGGTAAGTGGATAGCCAAAGGCCAGGTAGGCATTCATCACAAGTTTAGTAGCTAAGAAGTAATTTTGGTAACTTGAACTAGTAATCTAGTAACTGTTCCTGTCAGTTTGAAGGATTCAAATGTTACTTGCTTCAAAAGTTTTAGAACAATTTGCTCTTAAATTTAGCAGTGAGGAAGACCTTGTTAGTGGGGGTGAGTGACCTTTATGTGAAATGAAAACAAGGGTTCTATGAGGATTTTTCTTTTTAAAAATTTTAAGTTTTCTTTCTAAGAAATAATCACACTATAGATCTATGGATAGATGAGCTGTGGTTCAGGTAAAATAGTTTGCTACTTGAATTTTCAGATATTTCAAGTCTTTAAAAACCTCTTTTAGGATGTACCCAGCATTCCACGTTATTTTAATAGTGTATCGAGTTATTTGCATATTGCTTTAAAGCTGAGTTTGGAACTAAGGAACATACATGGTAACCGCAGGAGAGGGGGAGTGGCCCAGGAGCTTGTTCTGGTCCCCTAGAAGTGCCTTAGGTGAAGCAGCTGGAGTGCCTAGGGTGCTCCTGGTTGTAAGTCTGGGATTTTCCTATGTTTTTGTTAGAACACTGCAAAATGCTCTGCTAACAAAATCAGAAGCAGAGTCCTCAATAAGTCTGTCTAAGGGACACTTTCAGGAACTGAAGTCCAGCATCTCCTGAAAGGGGGAAAACATGGAGAATTCCTTTATTAAAATGTAACCATGAACATGCAAGAAGTGGGCTCTGGTCAGAACACACAGACTGCAGCCTTAGCTGGGGACTGCAGGGTGCAAGGCAGACCCCAGTGCTCAGGGCTCAGGGCCCTCATCTGCCCAGTGCCTTTTGCAAACTCCAGACCCAACAGTTTATGCTCCAGGGATGGGTGACAACATTCCTGCCTGGTGACAAAGCTGCAGGCACCCTGAGCTGCAAGACCTTAGCCTGGAAAAGACATCAGCACCTGGCACCTGCCTGGTCTCCTGGGCTCATTCATGCAGCTGTTCAGGATTCAGAGATGAAAAAGAAATCCCTTTCCCAGTTTCAAAGGTGAGGTCCAGGTCCAGGTCAGCTCCAACAACAGGAGAGAGAGGTCTGTTCTAGAGGTGCTGGAGGTGAGCAAGTGTGAACTAGGCAACATGAACCCCGAGTCCCTTGTGTTGGGCATCAATGTGATTATGTCCAGGAAAAGGAAGGGACATTTCTGGCAGAGAGCTCCTCCTTTGGCTCCTCAACGACCTTCTTCAGTGCTCTTGTTCCCCAGAAAGACTTCGCAAATCACACAGGAGAGGTGGGAAAAACGGCAGAGAGATTGGTGGTACTATCCCGTTCTGGGGAAAGCTAAGAGACCAAGGGGGACGGAAGGTTAAAGGCAGCATGAAGGAAATGGGAGGAAGGAGACCTGCTACGAGGGGTTCACTACTCTCTTTTGTTCCTTTTTCTTGTTCTCTCTTACACGTCAGCACATCAGCACAGCGTCCTCACACCAGGGAAATTCCCCCAACCGCCCAGCGGTCCTTCTCAAGGTAAGAAGCAGAGGCTGCTGCGTCCTGGGCCAGGGATGCTCGCAGAAGCCGGGTCTCTGACAACCTCTGGGCCCATGCGAGGTTTTCCGACAGGACAGTGGTTGCGGGTCAGCGTGGGTGGAAGCAGAGGTTGCAGAGAAGAGCCCGGGGCCGCGCTGCCAGCATAGGGCGCCCACCTGGAAACAGGCGGCCTTTCTGGAGTCCAGCAGGCTCAGGCCCTGCGGTGAACGGACGGAGGGAAGGAGCGGTGGACTGACTCCGCGGGGCCCTTCAGCTGCCACCGCCAGGCTAAGTAAGCCCTAAGAAGACCAAAGAGCGATCAAAACTCCTACCTCCACCTTCTGAACACGCCCAGGGCTGCCAGAGCTCGGAGCTGTGACGCTGGGGTTTTGTTCCGCTTCACCCAATCTTCCCTAGCAGTCTGGAGGTGGGGCGGGAGCTGAAGGTGGAAACTTCCCAGGTAGGTGGAAACTTCCTCCTTAATGGAAGTCTCCAGGGTCCAGCCGTGGGCCCCGTGTGCAGCGCGAAGTCTCCGCCCCAGAGGCTGCCAGCGGGCCAGGAGCGCTCCACTGATCCCTGCGGAGCCGCGGACACAGGGGGTCGGTGTCTGCAGGCGCCTGCGGGCGGCCTGTCCGGGTCTCTGTCTCTGTTTTCCAGAGGAGGGAAAGTAGGAACGGTGTGGTCAATTACAACTTTTTTCTCCGTGGCTCCTATTAGGACTTCTTAAAAATTAGTATTCAGATGCAAAGCTGGGGTGTTCCCGCCTGGAGTCTGCCTAGCAGGGTTCCCTGGCTCTGCAGCCTGGCTCTGTCTGGCAGAGGCTTTCCCGCCCAGCAGCTCAGGCTGCCTCTAGGCCCAAAGCTATGGGTTCTCTCTGGGACTTCCGAAGTCCCCAGGGCCAACCACTTCAAGCAACTGCGTCTGAGAAGACTGCGATCCACCCGTCATCTCTGCATCTCATCTCGACCCAAGACAGCAGCCCCAGATCAGCCAAGGCGCTGTGAGCCATGTGTGCCCACGCGGGTGCCGCCCTCGGCGCCCCGCCTGGCACTCCTTCCCGTGCGACTCTGGGGAGGACAGAGAGACTCCCGTGAGCCAGCACGGGGGGATCCTCGCGTTTCCTGATTTGATAAGGCAGAATCTGGGAGCACCCGGCTGGTGGTTTTGGGGGTGGGCCCAGGGAAGCAGCTCTGGGCCTCGGATTGTGGATGGGGGAAGAGGATACACATCTTAAAGATAGACCTCAAGTTCACCCCCAAAACGAGGTTCGCCTTTCCCCGGGCTCCTGCCAGACTGCCGAGGACCGCGGGCGGAATGCAGCGGAGGAGGGTGAGATGCCCACTCGCCTGTGCACCCTGGGCCTGGGCGTCTGCCTGCGCGCGCTGGGTGTCCTTTCCCGAGGGAGGCTGTGTGGGGGCAGGAGTCGCCCTTCCTAAGTCAGGGAGGAGCCACCAGGAGGCGTGAAAGCTGCTAAAACTTCACTGCACCCTCCTGCCCTCCATGCAGCACTCTGGGTCTATCCATCCCCCATCTCGCCCAGTGGATGGGAACCCGGGCTCCCCGGCGTGTCCGCCCAGTCCCCACAGGAGGACAAGGTAGGGCCAGCTCCAGTGCGCCCACTGCCGGCCACGAAACCCACGGTTGAGAAGACAGCCGGGGACCAATCCCCGGTGGCGAGGGAGCCTTGAGAAAGAGTGTCTCAGAGACAGACCTGAATGTTTCCAGCACCTATCTGTGTCTGGCCGTCTGGCGAGACCAAAACAGAGAGAGGCTGCTGCCTGCTCTTCGCTGGGCAGCTCTCCTGTCTGCTCAGGTGGGAGTTTAAAGGGTTGACACCAAGAGGGAGCTCAAGAGAACAACTGGGCTGCAGAAAGGTGTGGTCAGAGATGCTCCTGCTTCCTGCTTCTCTGGTTTTATCGCTTTCAGCTCCCTGGAATCTTCCTCCATGTCTCGGGAATTGAACTCCCACTTTAATGCAAGGCATCCCATCTAAGTGGCCTTGGAGTGTGCAAGGGGCGTGAGGCCTGGGTTCAAAGGAACCAGCTTGGCCGTGCACCTTGGCAGAACACACCTCTCTGGGCAGTGTGGCCAGAAGAGCTGCAGCTCTCTAGAGGGCCAGGGACCCCCACCTAAGTCAAAGCATCTGGACCATGAGCTGCCCTAAACCCTGGGTATGGTGTCACAGTTACCCAGAAACACAGACTCTCAGCCATCACCAGCCCTGTAACCTCAGAACCTGCACTTTAAGAAGATACTCAGGAAATTTGTGCAGGTTTAGGGTGGAAAAACCCTGGCCTAATTTACATACCCTGACTCTAATTACTGCCGCTATGTTCAACTGTGTGTTTCCTGTCTCCTCATCATGGATCAAATGGGAGTCAGCTTACAGGTCCTGGGGAGCACTTAGGCAGTGCTGAATGCTCCTCAAACCAATGAAATTAGAATCGCTAGTGGGAGAAGCCTTAAAGGAGTGTGCTTTTAGTGTCCCAGGTGATTTTAATGGTAGCTAGGGGCAGTTAGTGCAGAAATAATCACTACAGGTGAACTGGAATTGACAGAGGTAAGACTCAGGCCCTGTATAAGACCACATGTACAATGGTGCAAGGCATGCGTTCTGCAGCCTTTGTCTGTATCTCTGCTTTGGTTTGCATCTAGTTTGTCTCCACTGTAACAGAGAGGAGAGTGATGGAGCTTTAAGAGGGATCCAGTGTCTGAAAGGATTACAGGAGTTCCCCTAGGAGTGGTCCTTAACCAGTGAGCCCAGAACCTTCCCTCAGAGGGTGTCTTGCAAATGCACTCTTCTCAGCATGCCTGTTTTGCCTTTGTGTTTTTCACTGCAGGGGCCTCTCCAGAAGCCCAGAAGATGCTGGTGCAATGCTCTCAGATCTCTAGAATTGTGAGCTAAATAAACACCTCTGCTTTGTAAATCACCCAGATTCAGGTTTTGTTTATAGCAACAGGAAACTGACTAACATACTCTCTTTTAAACCAAAATGGAAAAGGCAGTTCTTCCTTTGTCTCAATCCTCCATTCGCTCAAGTAGTCTTCTTCCAGGGCACAAATGCCTGTTTTCACTTGAGCATTTACGTCCATTTAAAAATATTTTTGGCATAAAAACTGACATTTTAAATCAGCTTGCCACTCAGTAAAGCTGATTTTGTGCATGAGATGATTTTGTTACCTGCAGCTAAGGCAGTCCTTCCAAATTAGAAGCACTGGTGTCAAGATGTGCTTCTAAATTCATTCCTTACTAGGGGGTCATATGGGAGGGCCCTACCTAAAACCTCTTTGGGAGGGGGCTGAGTATTTGACAAGCAAGGCACTGAGCTATGTCCCCTGCCCCATCTCAGAAATCTTAGCACTACAGATGTTCCTCGTTTAATGATTAAGCTGGGTTCCTAGGACAAGGTTGTTACATGAATTGGTCAGTGAATGCACACTGCAACATTCAGAATAGAGAACTGATCAAAAGACTACTGTTGTACTGCAGAAGAGGCCACTGTAAAAAGCCACATTGCTGCTCTCATTCCTGCTGGGTAAGTCTGAATGCAGGCACTAATTCCAAGTGGCAGATCCTAAACCTGCACAGTCATTAAACAGGCAGGTAGTTAAATGAGGAATATATATACTGTCCCACAGAAATGTAATGCTAACCAGTGTGTCATTTTAAGTACAATGTTATGATAGTGCACATTAAAGCATTAAAAAGAAACAGGTAAGATTAATTTGAATACTTTTAGTTAGCCTAAATAAAATCAAAATGGCTGGGGATGTAGCTCAGAATAAAGACCTCACATTCAATCCCTGGTAACACCAAAAAACAAAACAATCCAAAACAAAGCAAAGCATGTCCAGTATTTGGCCTAAAATCTAAAGAACCTTGATAATTGGAGATTTGATAAAAGATTAAGATCCAAAAACAATATGATAGCTGTGCTTTTTACAGCTAAATAATTCAACTCAATTGCTAAAAGAAAGGTTGCCTGTTACTTTGCTCCAAGAGAAAGAGACTTGAACTGGGTCCTTCATGGGTGACTACATAAATACAGATACAGCACTGCTCTTTCTTAGGTGGCTATGATAATAAATTTCACATAGCTATGACTATACTTTTATTGCATTATGATGTGGTTGTTTTTCTTTTTTCCATGCTAATAAAAACTTTTTTTTGTGGTACCAGGAATTGAACTCAGGACCCTGAGCTTGCTGGGAAGGAACTTACTCTGTCTGGCCCTAAGAACTCTTTAAAGATCACATTTAATTCATCTCTGTCTCTGCAACACCAAACCTAAGATCAGGAATTCCAGAGTTACAAAAGAGAGTGTTTCCTCAATTTATATTGTCCTTTTTTATTTCAGGAATCTCTCTTGCCAGTATGTGCATGAAATTAAAATTCTTCATAACCATCATGTTCTAAAGGTATTGCTGTGCTATCAATGGATGAGGTCCATTACATGAACACTGAAGGGTTTTTGACAGAAGCTGTCCTAAGCTCTGTTCTCAATCCGTCAACAAGACACTAGGCATTTTCCTTGCCCTTGGACCCTTGCTCTGGTTGGTTATTCTATCTGAAAGCTCTTCCCATACCCACTGGTCCATTGCCCCATGAGTCCTTCACTCCTGTCCCTCGTGTCTGATTTTAAATGTCATCGCTTAAGATCTTGTTCTTTTTTCATCAGTAAAGACTGCAACATCTTTTTAAACTTACAATTCTTCAGTGTTTTGAAACATAACAGACATTTACATTTTTGTTAGGTTTTGGAGAACCAAATCTATGTCTTTCTGGAGGTATAACCTACTGGGGCACTTATTTAGCATATAAGGACCTTGGCTCAAATTGCCAGCATCACCAAAGAATAAAAAAACAAAACAATCCATACCTTTGGGAAGGAGGCCAGGTAGCAAGTACACAGTTGTGAAACAATATGAGTACTTGATTGGAGGTTAACAGGAAGGGCAAGTCTCTCCCACCCTATCCGTGCCAGGACTCCTAGGAGTGTGATGGACACACTGGCCCAGAAGGCCTGAGAAGCAGACACTGCTGGGAGGAATTTCAGGCAACACAAGGAGCTGAACTAAAATCCAAGGATAAAACTAGAATATCACAAGTCAAGAGAACCAGAGATTATTCTGTGTGACCAAAATGTGTGCTGTGCCTAAAGTGTATCTGCCTACAGCAGTGACTCTCACCCTTGAGAAAGCATCAGAACTGCCTAAAGGATTTGTTAAAACAAATGGTTGGGCTTTGCCCACAGAGATTCTAAAGAGATGCTGAGCCTGTAGTATTACAGTACAACACAAGGACATGCATGTCTAATAGACTCCTAGGTGATGCTGATGTCAGGTCCAAGGACTACACATCAAGGACCAGTGGTCTAACCAACCAGCCTGGGTGAAAGCTGGTTGATTAGAGAGGTGCTCAGTCATTTCAGCTCATGTTCTAGCACATGCACAGCCTGCGTGCTCGTGCCCCGTGGATGGGAACGAGATGGTAACGAGACATGGAGATGGGTGGGGAAAGAGGGCAGAAAGGGCTCTCAACTTCCTCAGCATGTAGTGGAACATGCATACAGTGCAGGCTTCCTGTAGCTTTCTAAATCCAGAAGAACACAAGCCTCTTTCCTTATGTCTAAGGTTGCCTCTTTATCCTTTAGAGGAACTTGGTGTAGATAAAACATAGTGTATTTGTTCTTTTTCAGTCTTGTGATGGGAAGGGGCCAAGAAAGGGTAAAAGATGGTTTTGGTGAAGGCCATGAAGTTGCAAAAAGTGAATATTCTGAAAATCAAAAATTGGTGCCAAATAATAGTTATATGACTGATTAACAGCCTGATTAAAATTGCAGGTGGTGTTATGGGAAGGAGCTGGAGAGAATTTCTGGAGCCCAGTTATTATTCCAATGAGGAAAATGAAGCTGGAGGGACAGTGTCAGATTTATTCTCTAATTCCAATTTTCATAATTCATCAGCAAAAGTGGAAAAAAGCACACAACTCATTGTGCCACTGGCAAGGTGCCTGCTACCCTGACCCACACCTCCACACTCACAGCCTCCCCAGACTTCCCTCAGGTGACCCTTAGCCCTGTCTTCATTACTACTCCAGGGAATCCAGGATCCAGGGTCTCGGGTCCTCTTTCTACAGCTCTGTAAGTCTCTCTCATGACGCGCTTGTGCACTCTCTTAAACTCACAATTCATCTTCAGCAAAATTCTCTAAGTGCTGAACATCTTCTCTGAAAATCCCCCCACCTGCCTGTCCAGACTCATATCCAACACTCTCAATATTGCAGTGATTCCAGCCCCAGACTCCTGAAGTCCTGCTGGGTCCGAAGGTACATGTATGTCCTCTTTTCTCCACACTCTTATTTCCTCAGTCTTTCCTTTTCTTCACCTTCCCTTCCACTTCTTACCATCTCCATAGCTGTTACCCTGGCCTTTGCCACTATTATCTCTAATCCAGAAAAACCCTGCTAACTAATCTCTTGCTTTTGTACCTTTGCCCTCCCAAGGTCTTTTCTCCACATAGAATCAACAGTGACTCCACAGTGTATCTAGGCCCTTATCACCCCCTCTTTGAAGCTTTGCCATGGTTTCCTGTTTCATTTGCATGAAAAGCCAAGCTGTGTTAGTCATCTTTGTAGTCTCTGTGACACACTATCTGACACCCACAGCTTAAAGGAGGACAGGTTTAGTTTGGCTCACAGTTTAAGGGAGTTCAGTCCATGGTAAGCAGGCTTGAAAGGAAACGTTCAGTTCATGGTGACAGGGAAACAGAGCAAGAGAACAGCTTCCTGACAGCAATGCCTGAGGGATGAGACAGATCCCAACATTACATTTTCAGAACGTAGTCTCATGGTCACACCTGGCCTCAAAGGAGCTTGGGTAATGGAGTGTCTTCAGCAAAGCCATGATCCTAGCTGAAATTCAGAAGATATATTCCAAAAATTGAGCAGGAGGACATTGGGGAGCAGGAGTAGGGGAAGGTAGCACTCTCTCTCTTAGCATTTTTTAGAATGATAAAGATGCCTCACGTGGTTGGAGCAGAGAGAAGAAAAGGGCAGAATGAAATCAGATCCAATTGCAAGGGTCAGGAGGGATGAAAAATTATTTCCAAAGATGAATGCCATAAATTATTTCCTTTAATGCCTCCCCTCCAGTCAAAATGAAGGTCTGCTTTTTCTTATCTTGAGTCTGGGCTGACTTTGTGACTTGCTTTGACAATGGAAGCTGGGGAACCTGACTGTGTGTCTTGGTCTAGGCCACTAATGGCAACCCTTACAGAGCATTCAATGATAGCAAACCAGCCTCTGCAGAATGCTTATCATAGGTCCACCACCACTAGCCTATGCTTTCAGGCTCCTGGAAGTGTCCTTTTCTGTCTTAAGATTCATTTTCCAGATAAAGAAGCTTGAGTTTGATCTCTGAATGCTGAGAAGCCATATGGAGAGGGAGGTGACCCAGTCAGCTGAGGCACCAGATATGCAAGCAAAGCCAGTTTGGATATTCCCAGCCCCAGCTGGGTTCCTAACTAAAGGAAGTCATATGAGCCAATCTCAAATGGAGCAGAAGAGGTGACCACCTGAGTCCAGCTGACCCAGGGCATCACAAAAAGTCATACATTTTTGTTTTTTCAGGTTAGTTACTCAACAACAGACAAATTAAATACAGGGCCAGATCATGTGAAGGTTTATAGGTTTGGAAAAGGAGTCTAGCCTTTATTTTTAATGCAGAGGGAAGTATTTCAGAATGTTAAACAGGTGAGTAACACAATCTGATTTAAATTCCAAGAGAATAACTCTGCTACTATGTGGGAAAAGGATTTCCAGGACTCAAGAGCAAATGCAAATGAGACCAGGAGTTATCTAGAGTGACCAAAATGAGAGGTGACAGTGGCTATCATGGTAGTATTGAGAAGTGGTTCCCTTTCAGAAATA